CTTGCAAATCTACTGTACGCAGCCTCGTCGTATCTCCGCTGTTAGTCTTGCTCGAAGAGTTTCCGAGGAAATGGGAGAGGGGAAAGGCAAAGTCGGTGGTCTGGTTGGATACGCCATTCGTCTCGAGAATATGGTTACCGACCAGACGCGGCTGATCTATGCAACAACCGGTATCGTGATGAGGATGCTCGAACGAAGCACTGAACTCGCTGATGTGACACACCTGATACTGGACGAGGTGCACGAACGAAGTATCGAGAGTGACTTCTTGATGGTGGTGCTGAAGAGGCTACTCGTCAAGAGAAAGGATTTGAAGGTTGTACTGATGTCTGCCACCGTCGATGCTGAGCGGTTCTCGGACTACTTGGGAGGTGCCCCTGTGCTCAAGGTTCCTGGACGAACTTTCCCGGTCCAGCACTTTTACCTCGAGGATGCCGTCGAGGCCACTGGATTCAAAATCGAGGAAGATCCCCGAAACCCACGATCTCGTAAAAACGAGTGGGACGATAACGACGCAGAGTTGGACACTGAGAGTGGGAGTGGAGCCTCTACCGGAAACCTACAAGCGTATTCCCCGGAAACAAAATTGACGCTCAGCCGGATCGATGAGTACCGAATTCCTTACGACTTAATCCTAAAGCTGTTGGAGACCATCGCAACTTCTCCCCAATTCGTGGATTACTCGAAGGCTATTCTTGTGTTTCTGCCAGGATTGGCCGAGATCCGGAGAGTCAACGATATGATTCTCGGCCATCCCATGTTTGGTTCCCACGGAAGACATGGCATGAATAACTGGCTCATCTATCCACTGCATTCCACTATAGCATCCGAAGACCAAGAGCAAGCTTTCCTTATCCCTCCACCGGGAATGCGTAAGATTGTTTTGGCTACGAATATTGCGGAGACGGGTATCACGATTCCGGACGTCACGGCCGTCATCGATACAGGAAAACACAAGGAGATGCGATTTGATGAAAAACGTCAGCTCTCGAGATTGATCGAGACTTTCGTTTCCCAGGCCAACGCAAAGCAGCGACGAGGACGAGCAGGCCGTGTTCAGCCGGGAATATGTTTTCATCTTTTCACCAAGGAACGCCACGATACGTCTATGGCGGAGCAGCAAACCCCCGAGATTATGCGCCTCTCGCTACAGGACCTAGTGCTCAGAGTGAAGATTTGTAACCTCGGAAACGTCGAAGAGGTGCTCACCTCTGCCCTCGATTCTCCCACACCGAAAAATATCAGAAGAGCTGTTGACTCCTTGGTCGATGTCAAAGCCCTTACCCAGGACGAAGAATTAACGCCTCTTGGTCGCCAACTCGCTAAGTTGCCGCTTGATGTCTACCTTGGCAAGCTGGTCCTTCTTGGTAGCATCTTCGGATGTCTCGATGCCGCCCTCACCATTGCTGCCCTGCTAAGCTCCAAGTCCCCTTTCGCCGCACCGTATGGATCCGGAGGAGAAGCGGATCGCGCCAAGCTGTCTTTCAAACGTGGCGATTCGGATCTCCTGACTGGCTACAATGCCTACTCCGCGTGGCGACGAGTTTGCACGTCAAAGCAACACATATCGGAGGGCGAATTTTGCCGCAAAAATTATCTGTCGCAGCGTACCTTAAGTGGCATCGAAGATCTCAAAGGTCAACTCACTGCTGCGGTTCTGGACGCCGGTTTCATCACTCTAGAGCCACCCCAACGCGCGGCGCTTAACCGCGCTAGGTACCAGAGCTATCGCAGAAACTTCTTCTTCGTCGTCCCTGATTCCTATAACCATGGAAGCACCAATGACGAAATCTGTAATGCTGTCGTCGCCGCTGCTTTTTATCCAAAGTTGCTTTCTAGAGACGGTAAAGGTTGGAGAAACGTCGGCAGTGGCAAGAGTGTCAAGGTGCACCAGACGAGCGTCAACAGAGACACCGACTGCGAGTGGCTGTGCTATTACGGGATCATGCAGGCTGGAGGAGGAAGGAAGACCTATGATGCTCACGATACAGGGGGGGTCGAAGATCTTGGCATCGCCGTACTTTGCGGCGATGTTGAGTGGAAGGTATGTGTCTTTATCTTTTGTTTATAGCTGTGGAGGTGCTGATTTTTTAACCAGATGTTCCCTGGAATCGCCGCAATCGATGGAAACCGAATTCGCTTTGCCTTTCAAGGCTGGAAAAGCTTAGTGGCTGTGAAGGTCCTGAGAAGGAGAGTTGGCGACGTTCTCAAGGCTGCTTGGAAGAACCCGGAGAGGGAGTTGACTGCGAGCCAGAAGATGTGGGTGGGGCTGTTTTGGGAAGTGATGGATGGTGTTGGGAAGGGCAGGAAGAAGAAGTGAGGATTGTTTCCTTGTTGTCAGCTACCTAGATGCATACGGCGGTGTGGCGTTTGTGGGGATATCATGTTTATGAAATGGATAGGGTTTATCTAGAGTCAAAGTGTGCGTAGAATGCGCACTGTGTGATTATAGCTTCTATGATGCCGCTAGTGGTTAAGCATTCACCTTACCTTTGTACGAAGTCGGAATATAAGAACATTCACCATTGCCAGATCTCACTTTAACAACGATACACACAACACCATGGTATCTACATCATACCTCGAAACCGTCCTCGAATATAGTCCCAGCGAGACGCAGTCTCCCTCCCACCCGCGGACTCTAATTTTCTCTTACCTCAATACCCACTCCCTGCTCTCACTTCGCAGCTGCTCCCGCACTCTCAAGGAGATCACGTCTCTCTACGCTCTCGAAGCCTTCAAATACCTACAGCTGATCTTCAAAGCCGGCGCCTTTTGCCCCGCCGCCATCGCCGCCCTCGGTCGCATCGGCACACTCTGCACACATCTGACAATAACGCTCCGTCACTCAGACTCCACCGTGCTGACGCTGCCGCCGCGGCTTCCCGAGGACAAAGACCGAATCTTCTCCTTCTTCCACATTCCCCGCGACGGATTCTGGGATGAGACCGGCCGGTACCGGCTGGAGGAGCACACCAACCTCGTGGTCGCCGAGGCGGAGGCGCAGGGGCTTTGGGAAGAGGCGTCGAGAGTCGCCGGCTGGGCTCGCGTGTTCGGCGCCCTACCAGGATTGAAGAGGGTCGATATTGTTACGCTGGGCGAACCCGTGGGGAAGGGGCTCGCGAGGGATGTCGTTGACGAGGCGCTCATCTCGGTGCGCCATGTGATGGAGGATCGCTCGCTGGTTAGGGGGCTGACCGGGTGGGGATACAGTGGACATGCTTGTGGGGTGTGGGTGCTAAATCCGGAGATGGCGTGGGAGGGGCGCGGGGTTAGGAAGTCGTGGTGGGCGCGGTTGACGGAGGTGGATATGATGATGACCAGGGAGAGTTTGGTCGGCATGAAGTCGTGGGAGACTGGTGCGGTGGATAGGGCGTGGAGGACGGTATTGAAGGCGATGTCTGGCAAGCTGGTGAAGCTGTCGGTTGCGATGACGGGAATTGGCCCAGGTCTGGCGTGTCCACTTGTCGAAGAGACGCTCGAGTTTCCGAAGCTGAAGGAGTTGACGACGAGTGGGTTTTTTGTTGCGTGGAATAACCACGGTGGGTTTGAAGGCCTATTGGGGCGGAGGGCGAGGAATGTCAAGCTGTGGATTGTTGAGGGGATGCGGTGGATGGAGGGCGAGCAGGGGTGGGTTAACATCTGGGAGGAGTGGGATGCCCTGCAGTGGACGCGGGGATTTGAGCTGGTAGTTATGAGGAGAAAGGGGACATGGGAATCCGATTTGTATTAGCAGCGGGCTGCGACACTCTGGTTATTTTAACTGAAGTTTCCAAGGTCAATCGAATGATGTGACTGGTTGAACCGACTTGTCATTCCGAATCGGTACTGAATAAACTAGGTAGATTGCCTTCTCTACATCGTGACGAACTCCCAGACTCTTAGCAAGCTTTCCATACTTCAACCTCATATTACATACAGATACAGCTAAACATCCCTCGGCTAACCCAGCGATTCTCCCACTCGCTGCTCATCGGTGCTTCCCCGTGTCTGGCGTGAATTCTTGCGCGCCAAATAAGTCGACAGAAACCCCAGATACCACCAGTTACTAATCGGGTATTGCTCTCGCTTGAACTGGTCTGCCGCTTGGAGCAGCTGTCCGCGATCATTCCACGGCTGCTGGGCGCTTATCATGCTCTTCTGTAGGCTTTCCGTCCACTCGCCGTAGCTCTTTTTCAGCAGCCGACTGGTATTCCGGAGATTGAAAACTATCAAGAATGTAACCAGGCTGACGACAATGGTAGTGACGAAGAATGATGATAGCGTTGCGCCCGAGGGAAGCACCTTCGACGGTTAGAACAATCCGCTGTTCAGAACAGAAGCCTTGAGGCACAAATTTACCTGCATGCTGAACAACGCTGTAACCAGCGAGATGCGCAGAAACGCAATCGTCACCAACTTTAACAAGCGAACGTTCTGACTCTGGTTTGCCGCTAGTCGTGCTTCTACCACGGTGGAAGTTGCCGAGAGCTGAAGCGGCGTGTCAGCCTAAGCACACATGTGAGGGGAAACACAATAATCCGAACTACGTCGCTGAGGCCTTTGACTTCCTCGCGCTTGCGCTCGATACGCGCGAGTAGAAGCTTGAAGCTCTCTCTCAAACCGTCGTCCTCGTTCCCGTGGTCACCCGACTCGTCTAGAAGGTGGATAGATTGGAACATTCTGGGAATGTAGGCTATAGTTCGTTCGACGGTTTCGGCGAAGACGCGGATACTCTGCAAAGCCCAGACGTAGTGTTTAATGGTGCTCAATTCTTCGTCTTCAAACAATATTTTCTTACGGAGGCCCGGATCGAAGATGACGGCACTCTGAAAAGGCTCACATTAGTCTATGACGGTGATAGACATGAAGGATCGACAAACCGGGACAGATATTTGCCGGTCAAACTCATTCATAACCTTAACCCAGGAATCATATATGCCCTAGAGGTTAAGGACGATCCAGCCAGTAAACTCCGTATCGCTGAATCCCAACCTTTGAAGATGCCACGGTCCATGTTCGGGTGCGTGTCCGAACCGTTTGCCGTTGTACTCCGCATGCTCGTCCTCGACGAGCGAGCGGCGATAGGAGCAGAAATTAACAGTAAATTTCTCCCCTCTAATTTATCGATCACTTGGAGAGGACTTCGGGAATGTACTGTTGAAGAGGCCGCTACTGACCATCGGCGCCGTGTCATCACTTGGTTTGCGGTCGTAGACAACGAAGAAGCTGATGGTAGTTGTCCACCCTTGTCATCATCAGCATCAACAACGGCGAGTTTCGCGGGTTAACGTAAGACGCACCGTTGCAGTTATACGGTTGTCGCCGATACTCGACATGCCAGGCAAAGTGGAACTGTGCTGATAAAACCGATCTCGAGTATCGTTACTCAAGTGGCGTGCTATCGCCGATGAATCGAACAGGCGACGGTTACCGTCTTCATGACTAAATCCTTCACTCATGAAAACCATGGCTAGAGCGCTGGGGGTGATGACCCGGATATCCATCTCCCTCCCGTAGGCACCAGTCTGGGACCTCTATGGAACAATAATTCAGCAACGATCGGTGTCCGGGGAGCGCTTCTTACAGGTGGTATTAGATGTCCCACGCCTATCACCTGGCATGTCCGCTCAAGACTATCCCGTCTTCGAGAAACAGCAATCATGCCTGTGAGTGTCCCTGGCGCCACACGACGGAAATCGCGTACATGAAATGCTTCCTCGTCGCTCCATTCCAAACGATTGAAACCCCTGTTACTACGGGTAATCTCGGAGGTGTCTGGGTTGGGAATGTAGCCAGTGCGGCCGAAGCTGAATTGATCAAGATCCTTTAGAGTGTTTTCCACTATGAATGTAATGGCTGTGTCTGAAACGGTATTTCTCCCTGGCCACTGTTAATCAGGACTGGAAATCTCATCGATCCACGGAGACGTGCTATACCTTCGGCCCCGGTCTTCCGCAATCGAGTGATGGCCTCGTTGACGCGAGCTTCTAGATGGTCGTTGTGCCAGGCCACATCCAATTCTGGTGGGATTGGGATGTTGGCGCTCTCAGCGTACCCCACTTCGTGACAATCTAATCAGTGATCTAGAGGTTGCTCAAGGGAGGTTCGGTCTAACCGCTTTCGATATCCTTGCCGCTCTCCTCCTCCTCCACAGGCTCGGTACTGGCAACGTTGAAGAGGGTTTTGAGGATTTACATCTGTTCCTTCTGAAGTTTCTCGAGCTTGTTGATGCACTCGTGGGCTGTTTTAGAGTCCATAGTCCTAGTTGATGGCGAGAATTTGAGTTGATAGACGGAACTCCACTGCTTGGCTCTGCTTCCCCGAATTCGCCTCGTCTTCGGATGGGGGACATGCTGAATAAATAGCCCTGGAGCTCACGATGAGCAATGTGACTCTGCGGAAAGGAGATGCAGCTGTGCCGTCTTTGATCGGTGATGCGAGGCCATCCGGATGTCTAAGAGTCGTGTGAAGTATTGGGTAGTTAATGAGCGGGCGCAGAGTGCTCGTTGCCTGGATGTCTCAGGGCGGATTCAATTTATGTATTGCTGGCAAGCCCACCTATCATTCGACTGCGCACAGCGGGAAGTCAGTCAGGCAGATCATAAACCCGCAGTTGCCGCCCATGTCTCACAGACGGCAGACGGGCAGGGTATTTAGGAGGATCGAAGGTTGGATATGTTCCAGCTTGTTGGTGGACCGGGCTGCCGACCGGGACACCGGCCCCCTAGCCTCCCGAGTTTACGAATACATAATTAGGCCGGTCTCGACAGCTGAGGAATTTCGCGGGCAGTCCGGTAGCTGGTTCTCCTGGCTGGTACTTATCTACACGCACGTACTTACAGGGGGGATGTGCAGTCCCATTCCTCCAGGCTCCCGCAGACGATCCCATCTTCACTTCACCAATCGTCGCCTCGCTTCTTTTACACTGCAAGATAACTACCATCTCCACATCGCGCCTGTCTTTAGCCTCCGGCCTCAGTGCGCTGACACGAACGGGAGTAG